ATGCGCACTTCAATGGGTTCAATTTCAGTTTATATTTCCGCATACGCTCAAAACACTGACACAAATGTTGCAGTGATCCCCAAAGGAACGCAAGTTCATCACCACATCATCTATGTATACCTCCAAAACTTTCCCGATCAAATCATGAAAGATGCAATTCATGGCCCGTTGATAGGTTGCTCCGGCGTTATTCAATCCAAATGACATAACTTTCCACTGAAAGATTCCCAAAGCTCCTGGCGCACGAAAAGCGGCCTTATGGACATCTGCATGAGCTATGAAGATTTGGGCATATCCGGCGTTGCCATCAACAAAGTTCATGACTTGAAAACTCACCAACCTATCAATCAATGTTTCTGCGATTGGCATTTGATACTCATCTTTGGGAGATGCTAGATTAAGATTCTGGAAATCTGTGCAAACTCTAGTCTTGCCATTTTTCTGAATAACAGACACTACATTAGACAACCATTCAAGATATACTGCAACCTCAATGAAATCAACTGCTAGTAAATGTTTAATCTCTTCTTTAACCTTACTGACCACATCTTTCAAAAAATGCTGTGGCGGTTGCTTGAATGGCTTAAAGCCTTTTTTCAGAGGAATGCTATGTTCTACTAAACTACGATCTAAACCCGACATCTCCGTGTAATCCCATGCGAAACAATCACGGTATTGCTTCAAGAGATCAATCAATTGCTCCTTGTCATCGGCCGATAAGGAAGAGCTGATATAAGTAGGTCTTTCCTCGCCAGATGAGCCTAAATTCACTGCTTCGACTGGTTCTTTAGTAACAACTGCGTCGTTACTTAACTTCAATGTTGCAGTTGCCGATTCATTTAAATCTATGACATCACTATCAGAAACTGGATCTGCATCATAAATCACTTCATCCCAAGATACTGTAGGTGTTTTGGCTTGCCGGCGACGCTTATCTTCAAAATACTGTAGTACACGCTTAATCGCTTCTTGTTTTTCTTGTGCTTGAAACAACTCACGATATAACTCTTCTGTGTCCAAAACACTTAGGTGTTCAATTGTCTTCACTGGATACTTCTTCTATAAATGGTGCAGTGGGCAACGACCTTAACACATTGTCATTGTACGGCCTGTTGACTTCTTGCCAAAGCAACTTCCATTCCGGAAGATTCATATCACGATGCATAGTGGCCTGCTGTGGCCGACCATACTTATCAATGCCTATAAGACGATATGGACCAACTTCACTGTCATAGTACGGCATTAGCTTGAGCCATAAATGGACTTGTATCAGCTGCAATGATTTTTGGACCTTCTGCTCCCCATAAAATGATCACTTGATGTAAAGAAGAAGGAATGCATTTTGCCGAATAAATCCAATCTCGCCCCAAAAGGGCATTGTAAGAAGCTTTAGTGTCAACCACAAAGAATGCTGATACTACTATCTGTGATCCTACTTCAACTTGCAACGGTAAGATCCCTTTGGCGGTTGTAACGTCTCCTGTAAACCCACTTACAAAAACTTCATTTGGCACCAAATCTTTTATCTACTTGCCTAACTTAATTAAAGTTCTTGTAGGTAAGATATTGATTGCTGCGCCATTGTCTACTAAAACTCGTCGTAACGGTATTCCGTCCATGACGGCACATATGTGCAATGGCCTGATATGGGACTCAGAGCCCTCAGCCAATTTAGAAAGCACAATTGCTGGACTTTTTCCTTATTGTGACAATAACTTAATACCTCCATCTGCAGTATCGTGTGGTTCTATCACGAACGAAGTGACTTCAGGTAGAACCACTTGGTCTGGAACAGCTTTGGGAATGAGGGTTGTCGCAGATGAAGGGTTCGTCAAACAAAAAGATTTTGGCAACATAGAAACCATGTTCATCGGTGGGAAATACGTATCCGATTTTCCCCAAAAGTTGTGACCGTCTATCTTCCTCCCCTGAAAAACCTAATTATCGGAATTTCTTGTGGAACTGGTGACTCACCCTCTGGAAATGCGTTCTCTATTTTTGTTGCAGTCCTTTTCTGTTTATTCGTAACCCTCTGGCATCGTCTTTTCTGATTCTGGTCATCTTTGCCTTCCTTAATGTCGGAATGGGGAATTTTGGATGAAAGACGCGATGCCATTCTTTGTGATTGACAGGTGTTTCTTTGACTGACCTTGGCTCAACATGACCCTGTTGATTGGGTCTTTGGATCCATTGCCAAACTGATGGTATTCTATTCTGAACTTGATTTGGTAGATTAGCTCGAACATTAATGGTAGAATCTCCCAATCTTGTATGTATAGGTAATCGATGTTGAACTGGAGGAACTTCTGGATGGATTTCTAGATGTTGCACACCCTGTTGCTGATTCTGGTTCAAAGCATTCAAGATAGAATCTGATACTGCTCTTAACCTTTCTTTCTCTGGATCCAAACGTGTTTCCTTCTGCACCCAAGTCTGTGTCTACCCGTTTATTACTATATTCACTTTAGTTGTAGCTGAGCGTGCATTCTGTCGATGCAAATATCATCGAAATTGAGATCCTAGGTCGTGAAGCTATCTTTGTACCTTATTAAAGACCTTGTCACAATCTTCACAGCTAGTGATTAAACATGTATCAGTAGTATGACCTCCAAATCCTACATCAACCATTTGGATCTGGTGCTGTGGTGGGAAAGAATTAGTATTCATTTTAATCGGATCTTCTACTATCACATTGCCATCATTTATCATCTTCTAAAGTCTATTGCGGAATACCAAACAATCATTTATAGTGTGAGTCCATGACATATGATACTTACAATAAGTATTTCCCACCAAATCTGCTGGCTGTGGCTGTTTGTAACCTCTCCTATAATGAATATGACCTTTTGGAAACATATCGTAAAAAATGGCTTCTTGTTGCGAAATGTCGAAAGAATAGACTCTACCAACGTTAGCTCTGTGAGCCTGTGCTGGAGTACCTGCCGGCGCACCTACTGGTGGAGGAGTATTATAAGAATGTGGAACTGTGGTTTGACGTAATGCGTCACACGTATAATTGCGGACGTTGACAATTTCAGCAGCATTAATGTCATATTCATCGTCGTCCTCATCATGAACCCAATGAATCTAATTTACCTTTGCTACCGGAGCTTTGTTGAACCATTGCTTCGACTTTCCCGGGTTCTTTTCTCGTTTATCCTTAATGACCTTCTCACATCTTCTTACAAAATCTGCCAAATGATTCAAGGAGTGTGTCGCAACAGCTAACTTGACCATGTAATCTTGAATTCCTGCAACCGCCATTTTAACAATGGTTGGTTCGTCATACTTATCAGGTATCTTAGCATACATCTAGCGGAACCGAATCAAATATGCTTCTGCTATTTCACCAAACTTCTATCGGATCTTTGACAAATCAACAATTGATAATCGCGTAGTATCCCTACAGAAGTATGATAAGAACTCTCTCTGCTGCGTTTCCCATGGTGGAATGGACCCTGGTGCTAATGACCGATACCAATCAAAAGCAGTTCCTTTCAAGGAGTAAGGAAACAAACGTAGCTTGATTAAAGCCTTGTTACTCACTGACCTGCACTGCAATTCAAATAAACTTATATGATCTTCGGGTCTTTTCTCATCTTCTCCTAAAAATTGTTGGAGATCAGGACTCTTAAAAGTCCTTGGCAAAGTCTCCCATTGAACATAATTAGGATACGGCTTTCCCGGAACTTTTGGAATCTCTGTGCCTAATTCTTTACGGATCCTGTCTTCTATCATTCTTGAAAATGCTTCTTCAGCATTTAAAGTATGTTCAACACCTGCTTCAAAGTCCTGTTGTTGATTAGCATTTGCTGTTGCACCTGGCTCTTATCGAAATTCATTACCAAGATCGACCCGGTGACAACCACCTCTTTGACCCCAAACACATTGTTAAAGTTGGTTGTGTCGATTTCCTACGTTCTGATTTCCAATGTGTCGACCAATACCCTGTGCTCGATTCCTATTCAAAATCTTATTTGCTTCGTATTTCATCCATTGTTGTTCTTCCCTATTTTCTTCCACTGTTGGATGAGGTGGAACAATCTATGGATCAGCAATCATAACGCCGGACCCTTGAGGTATGTGAGGATCGGCCAAAGTTGCGGTTGCAGTATTATTTCCTGACACTGGTAGAGTAACCTGGTTTTGAAATATTATGAAACGGCGGTCATTACTCCCTTGTACATTCTGACCAGCATGGCCTGGAGTTTCAACAAAACCCTTATTGTTTCTGGCACCATTGAAGCCTTGGTTGGTTCCAGAACCAATAACACCTTGAACAACCGGTTTTGCCGTTTTTAGCGGCCTATATGTTATCCTAGGAACCCCTTATTGCCCAATCAGGTGAGTTAGAACCATGATTGATCCCTGTTGATTTTGTAACAATGGAACTTGCTGTTGAAATGCCGTATTATGCAATTGAAGCTGGTTTGTCTCTTGTGCATTCCTTGCAACATTATTATTTGTTGCAGTCCCTTCCGTTGCGTTCCTGGAGTCACTGGCCCTGGTGTTTGGAATCTTTGATAAAGCATTTGTTGTCCCCATGACGTTCCAAACATCATCACTGGCGTTCCATATTGAGGAGATAATGGAGGCAATTGACTCCCGTCAAACATAAAATTCCCCGGTGGTGGAACAAATGCTGGTTGACTCGGAACAACTGGATAATACCAACTTTGCATCCCTTGTAATGTTGCATTTGACATATTTTGAGACCCACTATTGTTTAGCCCTGCTCCAGGATTCTGCACCGGAGTTTCTGCTGCAGATGTTTGAAATATAGCATTATACAATGGATTGTTTATCATATTAACCGGTGGTACTTCTGAATTCATTTCCGATGGCTGTGTTGGTTCCCGACGTTGCAGATCCACTAGAACCAGCACCTCTTGTGTTTGTACCATGATCAATTAACCTTTGAAACGCATTTTCAAAATGTTCCACCTGCGCGGCCATAGTATGCTTTATTGCTGAAAACCGTTGATGCACCATTTCAGGAGTTATTGCTGATCGGCTTGACCTTGGCTATGGAAAACAGGAACTTGGAATAACGAGCTCTGAAAACTTGGAGTTTGAAACCCTGGACTTCTGTAAGACTCAAGATAACTAGATCTTTTTCCAAAAAGACTCGACCCAACATTGGACTGCTGGTGACTAGATTGTCGCCCTATCCCGGTGGATTGATCTGTTTTCACCGTTGAGAAAGAGTCCACCGCCGAAATGTTCGGAAGCGTATTCATCGGCAATGAACTTCCACCTGACGCAGAAGTCTGAATCGGCATGGAAACTTGTCCCGCCGATTGCGTTGCTGCTGTTGACGACTGAGGCATCAACATTGTCTTTCTGTTTAAACAACACCTGGAACATACAAATCAGTCCCACTGGGCATGCTAAATTTTATGTTTGAGTCAAAATTGTATTTAAAATGAAGACTGATTCGGCTCAAACTAATTTCAAATGACCGTGTGATATTCTCAAAATCCGGAGTCCAAACGTTGAAATTGGCCTAATGAATCAATGCCCTTTGATCGTAACAAGACCGAAAGCTTGAATGAATAACGATTGATTGTGAAAAGAATGAATAACATGGCCTGCAGGAGCCTGTATTATTAATTTGATAATGAACGAATCGGCTTTGAATAGCCTGAGACGTCGAAATGATTACAATATCTAAGATTGAAATATAAAATAATAGATGAAAAAATTGAAACTGTAAAAGATAAAAGCTATAAAGAAAAATATGAAATTCTGATTTCTATATGATGAGTTGTGTGTGTCGCCATTGTTCTTTCACCGTTTTTATACGGATTGCACCAACCCTAGTTGGGTTGCAACCGAAGTCGAATCCAACAAGGACTTCTATTGCAACTGGAATCCTTCTCCAACACGAACTTACGGCATTGAAGACTTCTATTCCAATTCGGCTTTCAGCTCATTCGTACTTCTTCAAATCCGTATACGGCGGGCTTGTGACCGATTTTAATTCTAATAAAATTGTTGCGATCGGCCCATACTAATGTGGACCAGATTCGATAAAAATCGGTCTAACAGTGGGTTGACAGGCATACCCGTATAGGTTACCATGCACACGTGAATACATCCTTATTAGCATGCTTCAATACGTAGCACTTCAAAAACATACCAATAATTAAGAAGGTAATAATGTTGTACTATTTCGTTGCGACGGGTGAAATTTGAACTTTTGATTTTTGGAATGAATAACTAAATACTAGATACAACACTATTCGTATCTTCTTGGCTAGCTCTTGCCTGAACATTTTGATCTAACTATAGGAAATCAACCTGTGTCGCGATATCATGAACTCCCGATTGTTTTATGTAATGACCACATCAGTTGATTTCGTATTTTCTTACGTTAAAGTTAATTGCGACTCATCATAATGATTATGGGAGATGATGATGATCTCACGATAAGGATGTATATACGCTTACTTAACCTCTGTATACCCTTCATGGTGTTTCAGTGTGTGTACATGTAACCAAGAAAAGAAAGTATAATAAAACCTTGTATAGTAGAATGCTAACGTGATTAATTAACGAATTAAAGCCTCAAGAGTTCAATCTATTGAAAATGCTCTCAAACCCTTTTCATAGATGACCCTTTTTCGTGATTATTTGGTCCATTTTTGCTTGTTTGCCTCTGCCGTTAATTGGGAGGTTTGATGATTCGGAGAAGACCTATTGAAAAAATAATATATATCATCTGTTTCGAAATGATTGTCATGTTTATTATTCTACTTTTAGAATTTGTATTACAAATAAAAATTAAACTCGACAATCATTTTGAGATGAAGAAAATATATATTTACTTGGTAGGTTCATTTCTAAAAAAGATTTACTCGATCCAATTACAAATCGTTTCGAATGTAATGCGTGTTTGCTCATTACTAATTCATAGTTTTTCTACTAAAAACGGACGGACGTGAATACAAAATTCAAGTTGAAAATGCCATCTCACTTTTAACTAACGTCCAACCTCCGGAAATTCGTCTTCTAGAATATCCATGTGATTACAAAAACTCGCCAGATCATGATTCATGAAAGGATGAACAATGAGAAGGTGATTGATTTGGAATCTGAGCCACTGCCACTAATATAGCCAGCCCCATGCTACAGTGGGATGATCTCTTCTGACACTTTTTTGGATGATTTTCATCATTCAGGTATTTGTTTTAGGACTCCTTCATTAGTACTCACCCTATTTTAAAATAATTTTCAGTTTTGATTTTTACTCTTAGTATAATTTGTATTAAAAGCAAAATTTAAAATAGATATTTATTTCAAGAAAAAGGAATTAATACATTATTACTATGTTGGATCCTTATTTTGAGGTATTTTTTTATTGATCAATAATGTAAAAAATATATTAAAAATATAAAAAGATGTACTGACATAGATTATTTATTAATTAAAAACTGTGAAGAAAAACCATGAAAGGCCAACCGAACATAGCCACACTCTCTACTTTTTCTATCATGTGAGTAATTTGTTACGATGTATTAATTGTTGATAAAATGGTCCATTAAAATGGGACCGGATTCTTACTTTACGATTTAATTTCCATCAAATGAATTGCATAGTTGTTTGAGCTAACCTCCACCATCATCAAGCACTAGAACGGCATCTAGAAATAACTTCGTTAACAAAATTATAAATTACGTATCTCTGTTCGCCAAGGCTTTCTCCCACGGCAGCAAAATGACTCACGTTTAAAACTACATATATAGTTTTCGTTTCAATATGAACTAGGTTCTCTCTCGTGCATTACACGATATATATTAAAATGTATTATTAAAATAATTATTACTTGTGAAGAAATTACTACATACTTGATTATAAAACAGAATTTAAAAAAAAAAACGAGGATACAAAACATAAGTAAAAAGTAAAAAATGAGATAAAGAAGACGGTGTGAAATTAAGCAGTATTAATATTATTATATTTTAAATTTATCTGAGCTTAAATATAAGAAAAATATTTTACTTGAATTTTTCTCGTAATTTTACATGTTAGATTTTCAACATTTTTTTTTAATAAAATGGATATTACAATGATTGAGTTTGAATATAAGAAGAATATCTTACTTGGATGTTCTCGTCATTTTAATTGCGAAATTTCAACTAAAATGAAAGATTGGCATTAGAGTGATTCAATTTGAATGTTAAAAATATAATTCATTTGGATTTCTTTTCGTAATTTACCCGTGAAGTTTCAATTTGTTTTTATCATAAGCAACGTTGGTTCTTTTTTTTTTTCTGAAAATAAACTATCGAATTAGAGTACACATAATTAAAATTTCTCTATCTGACAATAGAACAAACTAATTCTTATATACATTTATAATATGAACCGGTTTATGTATATGGTTAAATTTTTTTTATGTAATACAACGTAATTTTAATGTTTTGGAGGGAAAACTTTTAACCACAATGCGAAATCTCATCATTTTTCTTCTCTTGGACTTTTCTTTTAATAAAATATATTGATTAAGTTAAATCCTTATATAAGACAAAGATATACGTTCACTTTTTTTTAGTCTTCCTAAAGTTTCACTTCAACTTCGTACATTTTTACTCACCAAGGATCTACCTTTTAATCCCTAATTGCGTATACCAATTCACAACCTCCTTTCATGAAGCATCTAATTAAAAGGTACTAGAATATAGCACTTCCGTAACAAAACTTATATTAAAACGTAACCGTAATTATAAAGTTTTTTTTTTTTTGAATAGTGGAATGGATTTTCGAAGCAAGTTTTGTGTTTTGATGCCTGATCAATCAAAATGCCTTTAAGCTAAAGGGGTTTCATTATGGTTTTGACAATTAAGGTACATGTGAAGAAGATCGAATATGCAGCGCTGTTAATTTTTAAAATTTTGTCTTTGGGTGCAAAATATGAACTTTTTTTTTTTTACTTCCAACTTGTGGCTCATTTGATTCTATAATATGGTTTTCACTAAAACTTTTGTCAAGTGTGAATACACAAAATTATAAATTAATTTATGAAATAGAACAGTGTCTTGTGGAATCTTTTTTTGTTTTGTTTTTTTTTTTTTTTTGAAAATGTATAAAATCTAAATAGAATAGCCAAGATCGGGGTTGCGGAAATTATTGAGGTGCAATATAGTTTTTATAAAATAAACCCTCCTCCCCCACCCCCCCGCCGCCCGCACACAAACACATAGGATTGTTAGGATTGAGAAGACCAAATTTTCAAACAATAGTTACCTCATATGCATTTACGTTTTAAACTAGTATATATTTATTTAGGTAATAATATTGGGTAAAGGAAATGGTTATTAAAACTGAGCCTACGTGTGGCAAGAATTTAAGTGAATTGATAAGATGTATACAAATTCCGGGAGCTGTCGATCGAAAGCAGTGAATTGCATCCGGCGGATCTTAACCCGGCCTTAGCAAAACCACACAACAAGATATTACAAGCTATATGCGAGAAAGCTATGGAAGAAAGTGAAGGGTTTTAAACAAGGCTACCAAGCAAATTCCAGCGTCCAGAAATAATGATCGACCTTCAGCAGATGCTTCCATTAATCATGAATCTGAGATGCTATTAACTAAGCAAGTTAGCAGGCAGCATTCACGGCGCGAAAAATTCTGATCAACTGCAAGCTTCGGTCGTTTTATGATCATGGGTGTGTTGTTAGTTGTTAGTTGCTACGTAAATTTTGTAACGTTCCTTAAAAGTTAGATCCTTGTAAACCCGGATTGTTCTTATGTAATACTCTTCCCTGTCCTTATTATAAGGCATTTGAATTGTCATAAATTTTACCTAAATATTTTTTAAATTAAAAAAAAATCTTAAAAAATATTTTTTAATTAATTAGGAGAACACAACGAATGTGAGTTTATTTTTAAGATTTTTTCAATTTAAAAAACATATTAGGTAAAACCTAAAACAAATAAAAATGTCCTTTAAGGACATGAGGGAATATATTACTGTGAAATGTTCTTATTTTTTCGTTCTATCTCTAATCTGTTTATTGTTGTAAGGGTTTGGGACTTGGGAGGGTTAGTGGAACAGACCAAAAAAAAAAAAAAACAAAACAAAAAGAGGCCCTTAATTTGAAAGCTCACAAACCTCACATGTCACTAGCTGGCTAATTAACAAATGAATAAAAAATTATATGAAGATGATACAGAAACATATGGAATTCCACCTCAAACCAATTGGTGGTGAAGGGAGTACCCCATGGAGCTTATATATTGATACTCAGAGTCTCCCAACACCGAGATATTGGGACTTTTTAATATTTTCCCGCAAGCCAAACGTATTTTTTGGGTAGGACTTGTCCTATTTTTTTCAGCTCAGACACCGATGTGGGATTAGGGGTTTTTAATACTCCCCCGCAAGCCCAACGTATTTTTTGGGTTGAGCTTGTCTTATTTTTTTCAGACCAGACATCGCCTCACGTCTCAACCCTATTTTTTTGTTGGATTTTTTGGAGTCTGAATGTCAGCGGGCTGGCTCTGACACCATACAGAATCCCATGAGGTTCCACCTCAAAACCAATTGACAATGAGAGGAGTAACCATGGAACTTATATATTGATACTCATCAACACCGATGTGAGATTGAGATTTTTTTAGATGAAAACGAAAACTCTTGTCTATATGTTTTTGGAGATAGTCATCTCCCTTTATTCCAGATGAAACTGACAAATGAAATGATCAGAAAAGGGGAAAAGGAATAAACATTATAATTGTTATATGATATAAAGTATACAGACAAAGTAACAAGAACGTTAACCCATGGCCTCATATTCCTGAGTTTATCTTGATGATTGAAAAAATACTTCTCAACAAACAGTTGATAGAAAGTCCTCCATTAAAGCATAAGATGATCCACTTTTACAGAATGGCATTTCTTGCTTTCCCCATTGATTAATTCACTGAATCTTTTCCCTGCTTTAGACTCAAAATTAAGTTTCATTTGGTTTTCCTATCTCTCTAGCTAGCGCGGCCATGATGAATAATGGACATAATTACCGGATCATTATGTACTTGTGGCTGCTTAGTTGCTTGCTGATCCATCATGGAGTTGAAGGCAATGGAAATGTCGTCGCGGCCGCTAAATGGCTTAGAGATCCAGACCTTTCAGTCGCTAAACCAGCAGAAGCTTCTTTGATGGATAATGATAGTACTCAATATAATTTCATGTCTTCCAAAGTTGAGAAGGTAATTGCTAAAAAGAAGAAAATTAAGCCAGCTCCACCGCCTCCCAGGACTAATATCCCGGGTCATGTCTTTCTCAGCCCACCGCCACCTAGACAGCCAAAACCTCCTCCACCGCCACCCCTGGCGACTCCTCCATCGCGGCTGCACCGTCGATTAATTATTGCCCGAGTGGCTGTGGAAATGTAAGCTAAGTTGGTTGAGGAGTTGTGTTAGTATTGTAGCTATTAGATACAACAAGTATGGCAAATTGGTGTCTTGTGTACAATGTACGTATATGGACGTGTTTTCATGCTTTCTATTATATAGATAGTCCTCTATAATTTCAGCAAATCGATACATCATTTCTTGTAAAATTTTTTATTAATTTTTCTGCGTATATCAGTATTCTGAAACCAACTAGGATTTTAAGAGTAGGAGAACCAAAAAAATAAAATAAAAAATAAAAATCATGTCTTTCATGTTAACTTTAGTACATAAAGTGATGCGTGTGTTACAGCAAGACCAAATGCATTTCGACGCCGTCAAGATTTTGAATTAGGGATGCAAAATGAAATCAATAAATCAAGTATACTAAATACTAAAAAAAACTAGTAATAAGCATTGAAAAGTACTAAGACATTGTTTTTCTCATTCGAAAATCCATATAAAGAAAAGTATAAATCATTGCATTAATCTTTTACATATTTTTTGCTACTAGAATGTCATATCATTATAATTTCAATTAGTATATTCTTCTAATTCAAAATAAAATCTTGAAAATATTTTTTCAGATCTATTATATTCTTCTAATTATTATAAAATATTTTAGGCTTTTGTTTTCAATTAGAAAAATATACTAAAGGAAATTTATGACAAATGAGAATAGCTTATAATCAGGATTGGATGGAGTGTGTATATATATATATATATATATATATATATATATATATTTGAGTGGAGGGATTTTTTTTTTTTTGTTGACTGGAGGGAGTATTTAATATGAGAAAATTTTACAATAAAAAGTCGTAAAGTTAACAAGTTTTGCACTCAGCTGTCCCAAAACAAACTCAGTACTACTTAATTTGAAAATTTGTACTAAAAAAAGTACAATCTTAAAACCCAACTTAGACTATTCTATTTTTTTTTTTTTTGTGACACAAGGAGTATATAAGAGAAAAAAACATACTTCCACTCTTCTGAAAAATAAAACCACTAATTAAGACATTAATATACTTAACCTGAATTGATGGTTCGTATTATTTGACGCAAATTTTTATTGATATGTTACACATCCAGTGAAAAAAGATATTAACTAATGAAAATACAAAATCGGCAACTTTCATTTTTAATAACTACCTTTGAACAAAGAATGATTTCGTAAATATATGCATGTCACATCATTAATTATCCCATTTTACTATATATTTTTACTGCGCATATGATTTTCTTGTGATATAATAAAAATAAAAATATAAAAGAAATGTCTTTTATGTAAACTAATCCCAGTTCCATTGCTACCATGGTCTTTATGCAATCAATAGTCGAATCAGATAAACATCCCTTCAATATAACATAGGTCATCGAAAGGATCTCGAATATCCACAAGTAGAAAAGGCAGGATCTTTCAAAAAGCCAATTCCTATTCAAAGCGCGCATAACCGCATGAATAAGCTCACAATAACTCATCCCTTTGCATGTAATATGATTGCCAATATTCTTGAAATTTTCCATTCTTTTTCTAGTTGGCGTTATTATTGGATGGGTGGAATGATAACGATGAGAGATAAAAAAAAAAAAAAAAATCGGTGCTGTGATTTTAGTCACCGAATCCGAAATATGCTTGAAAAATAAACTTCGTAAACAAATGAATATACATCAAAATATCTATATATTTTTGGGATATAGTTATATATCTCCCTTTATTCAATATGAAACTGACAAAGGATCAAAAAAAAAAAAAAAATACATACATGAATAAATAAACATCACCATTGATATACAATGTTTACATACAAACTAATACGTTAACCCCATGGCCTTACAATGTGACTTTTATCTTGTTTATTGGCAAAAAAAAAAAAAAAAACTGCTCAAGAAACAGCTGATAGCAAGTCTTCCATTAAGCTGCCCATTGAAGCATAAGATGATCCACCTTTGAGAATGGCATCTCTTGCTTTCCACATCAATTCTGTCACCTTTTTCTTAATTTCACTCTCTGGCTGCATTATCTGTCTAATGCCCTTCTCAATTTGATCAGCTTTAACAACAACTTTGTTGCCCATCTTAGGATCAATGTTGTAATCCATCTTAATCTCCGCAGCAATGCCAATATCCTTCACAATCTGCGATGCATTCAGCTGCTGTTCAGCATACATTGGCCAAGCCGCCATTGGGACGCCATGCCAAACACTTTCCAACACCGAATTCCATCCACAATGTGTCACAAATCCTCCGACCGCCGGGTGGCCTAAAACCTGTACCTGAGGTGCCCATCCGATCACTTTCCCGACGCCGGCATTGCGCTCTAAGAACCCCTCAGGCAAGATTTCCCTGAATGCACTCGGGTTCGGTTTTTGGTCTTTTGATGGAGCTTTTCTTAGAGACCATAAGAACCTACAGCCGCTGTTTTCGAGTGCATTCGCAATTTCCTCGACTTGGTTGGCTGAATCAAAGAAACCGAGGCTTCCAAAGCAGAGGAAAAGTACAGATGAATTTGGGTGATCATCAAGCCATTTCATGACACTCTCCGTTTCTTGCCCATCAGGATTAATACCTGTGAAGTTGATCAAAGGTCCAATTGTGTAAATTGGAGGCATCCTTGGATCATTTCCCAACACCTTTAAAGCGTGAGTTTCCATTTCGGCAAAAGTATTGATCAGGATTCCTTTTGTCCGAGTCATCCTTTGGCCAATTTCGATACTTTCTTCGAAACCTTCCTTTTCGAACATCACAGCAGGTATTAGTTTAGCCTGCAGAGAGTTCTTGTAAGTCGGCACCAAAAGTTCTCGTTCTGTCTGAATGTCGCCATCGTGCTCGATCAATACATCTTTCAGCTTGTGGATATGGAGCCAGAGGCCTAAAGCGGCAGCACCAGAGGTGTAAAAGAGATAAGATGGGAGCTCGAATTCATCGGCTATGTCAATCATATCCGTCGTGAACATGTCGACAAAAAATCCGGCGAGTTTGGATGAACCTGAATGCCTAAGTTCCGAGACCAAATCGCGAACTTGAGGCTTGTAGGAACGCATCAGTTCACACAAAAAGATGAAAGGGTTGTCTGATTTCTTATCCATTGGTTCTGGGGGCTCGCAGAGTTCGGTGTATTGTATTCCATCAACAGCTTTTTCTGAGTAAAGGGATTTGAGATATGAGTTTCCAGTATTTCCATCGTTTAAGATGAGGATTCTGATTGAAAGCTCGTTATGGCGACTCACTAGCAGCTCGGCAAACTGCATGGTTGATGCCAAATGGCCGGCTGCAGGCAAAGGAATGAAAAGAAGTTCTGGTTTCATTGTTTTCCTCTCAAGTTTCAGCAACTTTCTTTGGAGGATTGTAGTTGGAAAATTTAGTCTGCAAATGAAGGAAAGGATGGGATTTGTAGCACTTTCTGTCTGGGCAACACCACTTATAAGACAGTAGTGATTGATATGCTATTCAGCTCATTCATTGGTTGAGCTTTTAACACATTTGCATATAAAAGAGTTCTCTGTGCAAAATTTACTGTCTCTAATTTTGTTTTTGCCTCCCACTATTCAGATATCCTTTTTTATACATATAAAGTTCCTAACATTTGTGGACATACATGTAAGTGATCCCTGCATGCAATCCTCCCCTATTAAATTCTTGCCACATGATTTTCATCAATAGAAAATTATCAATTATTGGAATGAAATAGTTATGGTTCTAGAAAGTGTACAAGCTCCGATCCTCTATATGTGTATTTGCCAAATGTAGAATACCATAAGATAAAAAGAAATTAAAAAATAGTCCTTTGGCTCATTTCCACCTTTCACTTGAGGACATTTTAGCATTAGCAGCTCACCCTGTACAATTTTAGCTGGAAAGCTCAGTTTACTATAGCTGATTTTAGCACAAGTTTTCTATGTTGCTCTAGAAACTAATAACTTTGTTAGCTAGAGCCAAATTACGGCACTTCTCTTCAGTGACACGAATAGAATCACATTTTTGTGTTATACAATCTGTAACACATTAGATTTTTCTCATGTAATTTATCTCTGTTCCTAACTTATTCATCCAGTGACTGAATGGATGCTAGTAAAAGAACATGTGTGAAAGACTATAGAACTAAACAAGGTGCAATACAAACACAGAAACATAACGATGAGGTCTAAAGATCTTTAAATCCAAAGATAACACTGATGTGGTATACATGTAGAATACCAGAATACAACCTAGAAGGGCAGGTTACAGGTACCACCCTACGTAAGGAACTTGTAAGGGAATGACAACATTGATTTCATCTAAGGAATAACTATAAGAGCGTTATGCTGACATTTCAATCAGAAAATACTACGTATTTGGCATGCACACAGTCTCGCATGCACCAGAACTTGTTGACCATTTGTAATGGTAGGCAGAGAATTATCTAATATACAGAGTCAAAGGGAGTTGGCGATAGGTCATTATGGGAAGTGAGATGAGGCATTCAGAACTTCAGGAGCACCGTCCATAACCAGGAACTTCCACTTCCTTGTGTTCCAAAAGGCATGTTAAACAGAATGATGCCTTACCCCCATCTTTCTTTAAGACAAGACAGGTTCGTTTAATTAACCATATCTATTCATATACCCTCTTCCTTTTCAACAGAGTTGGAACTATAGCCACCGTCCCAATGAGAAAAAGAACAGATAGAGTTTTGAAATCGTATAGATCTTTGACTGACCTCAGGTCCCCAAGTGCTAGGCCAGCCTGTGGATTAAAAAAAAAAGGTCCAATCACAAACTTGTAGTTAAATAATTGGCAAATAATAGCATGCATTAATCTGTACAAGTTAGTCAAAACTTTAGCCAAAGTACATTAGCAGTTTGAAGTATTTCCGCAATAGCAATTATTGAATCAGTTGGATGTATATAATTCATGCACAGCAATCATTCGAGAATAGAGTAACAAGAATGCTATGAAAGAAGAGTATATTTCACATACAGTAAGTACACTTTCACATAGCAGAGTATATTTCATTTGGTGGATCCAAAATGCTATTCAAAAAATTTCGTTGTGCACAGGGTGCCTGTGATATATAGAACAACAAAATGCAGCCACCTAGAAGCCTTAGCTACAAATGCAAAGAGAAGAGGGACTTACTCTGACAGTAATGTAAGAGGCTGGAATCAGACCAATCACAGTGGCCAGAAAAAAGATATGGAATGGTATATCAACAATTGGTGATGCCAGGTTGATGAAAAGGTTTGGCAATGTTGGAGTTACTCTCAGAAAGAGCATGTAATTGAGTAGCTTATCTTTTCGCTTGGCTATCTGTAAAGATTGTTAGTAACAAAACATCAAGAAAATCTGATGTTTATCAATCAGAAAAACATCAACGAAATAAATTATTACCTCTGACTGGAAAAATTTTAATTTGTCAGGCCAGAGCCAGTAAACAATAGGCCTTCCAATTATTTTAGACAGAAAGTAGCAGGACGATGCTCCAGCTGTAGCATTGAAAACAACCAGGAAAAGGCCCCTGATAACACCGAATAGTGCTCCAGCAAGCAAGGACATAAATATAGTCCCAGGGATCATAAATGTCTGCATGAATATATACGTTGAGCAATACCCGAGAATGAACTGTGTTGGGTAAGCATTGGCATATGTTGCAAGATGATCTCTGAAATAGAATAGATAAATTGGTATAAACGAAAAGAGAAATCAAAGTCAAACTAAAGGCATTGTAACAAAAGAATGCCCATTTTTTATTTTTTTATTAAAAAAATTAGATGGCCCCAACGAGAATCGAACCCTCGACCTCTTGGTAATAACCATCCCCCATCCTAATCCCTAACCACCCCACCCAACCCTCCCACCCCGAATGCCCAATTTAACAGTTTCACAAACATTGCTAAGTTTGTTCTGGTGTATTTCACAAAGAACCTGATAAATTATGTACAATGAACCAGACATATCAATCAGAACCTCAACAAAAATGAAAGGCACGGCAACAGAAACTTCTCATAGGGATAACCTCAGCGTTTATCTACCACAAACCTGTTCAATATTTGTATCAAGCTATAACATGGAATTCTTAGTTTCAGAATATATTTTGACAACCAGATTTACTACAAAGAAATGAGCAGACAACTTCTTGACTGTCATCCCAATAACATGAAGCAAACTGTCAAAAACTTATCCTCAGGTGAGTCAAAAGTATTCAAAGACCTGCACAAAGCTGAAAGAGAACTCTACTAGCTCTTTCATGCAAAAACTAGAGCCTCTATGACCAGCTTTTTGGTTCAAAGTTTTACGAGACTTCTTATTTTAAATTTTATGCGTTCACATTTTCAAGACAGTTTCTAGATCTCCTCATACAACTTCTTACATCCAATACAAGAACATTTAAAAAAAAAAAAAATACAACCTAAAATAAAAAACGAAAGCATTGTCCATATAGCACATATAGTATTTCATGTTGAAAATAACATTTGCAGTATGCATTATACTGTATCATGATCGGTATACCCTGTCCAAGATTCATTTTTCCATGCCCAGCAAACCAGTGGATTGACAATTTCCTAAAAAATCTGAAACAATGAAGCTTTCCGCAGAACCGCTACAGTCGATAGATAAAAAATCCAATAAACTTGCAAATATAAGAACAATCCAAAGAGTCAGAACAAAACAATTTCAAGCACAAGCCCACAGGCGTGTAGGAGTAGTTTAATTGGAGAAAACTTGTATCTCAGTTTGACAGCTGTCTAACCACGATAATAAGTAAGACTACAAGTGAGCAAAGAAGGATAACAATAACAACAAGGTTTTTTTCTTCTATGGCCCCCTCATTTGCAAAGGGTAGAGAGACATTGCCAAGTGGTGAGACAACTGGATGATACCAGTACATGCAAATGATATTACAATAATGGTCTCACAGAAATCTTAATGTTACTTTATGAACTTCTGGCTTTTAGAGGAACACTACTGTTATTAGGCTCATTTGACAATGGAAATTGCAAAGGGTACTCTTGAGCCAATCGATGAACATTAACAAAAGTACACATCAGTCTTAGCATACTTATCTTCTCGGCCAATTGCTGAAGATCAACATGATTAGATCAATTTTCATATTTACCAATAACTAAGCCACATTCCTTTCTCTTTGAATTCAGATAACAAATATGGCCCATTCGATTTCTCAGGCTACAAGCGGATAAGAATTCCAATCAGACAAAGATCAATGTGATGTAATGAAATGGTAGGGACTGTGGTCAAATAGCTCAAGGAACAACATTCCACATACAAAACAACACTCTGTCTATTAAGTAATATGTTTTGCTTTGCAAGGAATCAGATTGATAGTTTTGTTGTTTCATCAATCCTTTCCTGATCAGTTCACCAAGATATTCACTCTTACTATGGTCATTAACTACACACGTACACAGAACACCATCCCCGCAAAATACCATGCAGTTCACATTCACCTATATTCTTTCTCGTTTCCTCACAAGTTTTAAGTTTCTAAGTTTGTCCACTACACAGCATTTACTCCCTATACGCAACATAAACCATTTAAGTTCCACTAGCTATCTAAACACACTCGAAGACTGTGAAATGACCGTAATAATCCTTAAGCCAAAATCTTTCTCCCTCTTAAGCAAGGTCACAATTCATAAAAAATAAAAACTCCAAACAATGACTTAAACTTCACAACCCCAATTACTGAAATTACAATAACGAAACAGCAAGTAAAACCAAAAGCAACAGGATGGCAAGGAAAAATATTGAAATAAATTTAGCACTTGAAAGTAGTTATCAAAAAACGAAAACCTACTTGAGCATCCGAAGATCGGAGAGTGTTCGGGGAAGCTTAAGCTTGCTATAATCCGCAGCTGGCATGGTCAAGTAAACGCAGCCCAAACCAATGGTAAACAGCAAAAATACCCCTAAACCAGCAAAGAGCTCCCACCGGGACAAAGGAAAGGCGCCCCCTTCACCTAATTTGCCCTTCTTGCTCGTAGGCGAATCAGCAAAATCCTTCTCCTCGTCCCTCATTCTCCCCCCTCCAACTCCAACACCGATAACGCCGGTATCCAGCACCACACTTCTGGGAGCAGCCATGGATGATGTCGATAAAGAACGGAACAATAATGCAGCACCGTTATCAGATATCGACGAGCTGCGTATGGATGACGATTTGGGTTTCATTTATTATCCCCGACAAACAACAGGGAAACAGAAATTGCTGCCTCACCAGGCAACAATGCCATTGATGGATCAACAACCAAGAAAAGAAAAAAAAAAAAAAAAAAAAAGCTGATCCGATATCCAAAGGGCAACCTAACAATTTGCTAATTGGGTTCTTTCCCCCTCACTGCAGTAATCCCGGAAACAGATCAAAGGGTTCAAGATTCAAATTTGATGGAAAACCCAGATGAAATTTGTATCAAAATTGCTCAAGAACAAATTTAAATCCAACAACAAAAGGAAAAAATCACACTTCACGACCCTCTTGATCTAATAATAATACTCGAAAATTGGTGTCGGAAGAGTATTGGGAATCAGGAAATCTCGAAAAATAGAGTGGTCCGGTGAATCAAATTAAGGACAGAACAGGAATCAACAGGTGACGAGGAAGGAGGAGGTGGGCTGATGTTTGAAAATCGGACGCGTATTTGAAGGGGGAAGGAAGGGAAAGAGAATTGTTTGAAGGCTAATTTGGGATTGGATGAAGCTGGAGCTATGGGGCCGGACTTTGACTATTTTGACACTGCTCAGTAGGCGGAGATTTAGCTTTTCTTTATTATTATTTGTTTGGGAATTGGGAATTTTTTGTTAGGAATTTCTAAAAATGTTACTCCTACATACTAGTTGTAGTTATAATGTAGTACCAACGTGCCATTATCATCAAATAGGGTTCCACAAGTGTATACAGTTCTGCCCCAAAAATCAACGTGCCATTTGTTTAGGACATAACTTCCGATTTTTTTAATTAATATAAGTGAAAAAAAAATCCAGTTTGTTTTAAGTACTTATTATCTTGGTATAATCTTCATTTTTCTATATATTAAAGGACTGAGAGTTTTGCCAACGAAGGGATGGTCTAGTGGTAGAGGCCCTGGCATCCAACTGCGAGATCGCGTGTCCGAACCCCCATAGTAGGGGGTCAATTTTCCTGCAGGGTAGGAAGCAGCAGCAGCTGAAGGAGGCGTGTTTCAAAGGATCGAGTATATGTACGCGTGGAGTCTCTTCCTATTATTAGTAGTAGTGTCCCCTTCCACATAGACCTCATCCATGTAATAGTTTAGGCACTTGTAAGGTGGGCTGATATTATTTTGATCTTATATGTGTCATTCCGAAAATATCCCTGACTTAGTAGGGTCAATGGTCATCCAGACGGAAATGGTGACGGAACAGTGAAAAGAGACCAAAAAAGTTTCAAAATGAAATGTAAAAGCTCAATCTATATACATATTAATGTAGGGGACCAAAATTTAAATTCGGACAAATATAGGGGACCATTTAAACATTTGTTATTTTGATCTTATATGTGTTATTCCGAAAATACCCCTGACTTGGTAGGGTCAACGGTCATCAAGACGGAAATGGTGACGGAACAGTGAAAAGAGACCAAAAAAGTTTCAAAATGAAATGTAAAACCTCAACCCATATACATGTTGATGTAGAAGACCAAAATTTAAATTCGGACAAATGTAGGGGACCATTTATACAGTTTAGTCAAAAAAATAATAATAAATAAATAAGGAGGAGAGTTTTCTATTTACAAGTGTCACTCAATTAGGTGGTTCGGAGCCTTCTTGTCAAGCTCCGAGTCTTCTTTCGACACGTGTCAATGCCAGAGACCCCATTTCATTAAAGCGTTAAATTTTTTCGTAAATTGGTTATTTCAATTTACTTTTCACCCATACGTTTTACCCATCTTTATTAAATTTCATATATTGGATTTATGAAGCAATGATAGACATAGTAACAAAATATAGTGAATTTGAATAGTGACTAATGAAAAGACATTTACACCACACTCACTATACATGTATCTTTATAAATTAAGGGAAAATGGTCATTTAACGGAAAACATAAAATTCGAACGGGAGAGTGGCAAAAAAAATAGAGCAATGATAGAGATAGTGACTAATTATAGTGAAAAATTATAGTAACTAATGAAAAGACAAATACACCATCCTCATTAAATATGTGTATTTATTAATAAAGGGCAAAAATGTATTTCTTTAGGGCAAGATAAAATTTTAACGGGAAAGTAGCAAAAAACTAGGGGCTAAGAATAAGCCACATCACTCACTATTTTTTTCACTATTTTTTTCACTACATATATCATTTTCCAATAAAATAGCGGCCATAATTACTCCAAACCAGTCACTATTTTTTGTAACAATTTTTTTTTCACTATACATATCATTTTCCTACAGTATTTAATTATCTAACTAATTAATAATAAAAAAACCTATCTTTTTCATTGTTAATTATTTTTACCTTTTTTTATTGGTTGCTAAGAATGACTTTTTACATATTTTTAAGCCGAGTTCAATGTGGTGGAATATTTTTAAAAAATTATAAATTTATTTCTGTGGATGAAAAAAACTATCAAGTATGTATAAAATATCGTATCTTCTAGGAAAATCTAACAAAAAAAATTAATAAAGAGATGTTGTATAAAACACTATGTATCTTTACATTTCTTTTTTCCTCTTGAATTCGCAAAAACTTTCATTTTGAATTTACTAAATTTATTTGTAAAAATTTATGAAATTACACTACCAAGTTATTATCAATGAAAAGACAAAATATAGTAAATTTAGATAGTGACTAATGAAAAGACATTTACACCACACTCACTATACATGGGTATTTATTAATAAGGTGTAAAAAGGTAATTTCTGGGAAAGACAAAATTTCAACGGGAGAGTGGCAAAAAAATAGGGAGCCACAATTACACCAAATCAGTCATTATTTTTTGTCACTATTTTTTTCACTATACATATCATTTTCCTATCATTTTTATCAATTATTACTTCTAAAATTTTATTATGAATGAGTCATACTAATATTTTACCTTTCAAACTATATACTATCTTTAATATGATATATATATATATATAAAGAAAAAAAGATGTTACACAAGTAAACATGGATTATATCCCACAACCAGATACAAACTTTGTCTTACGAGATGACACTCGGCTCACAAGTGATTATAATTTTACAATTTTACGCAAAACATGTAACACAATTCGTGCGATACACGGAGATAATTCCAGTAAAGAAGAAAATATAAGTGTAACTACTTACACCATAGAAAGACAATTTGATATAAGCTTAATATGACCTCTAACTCTGAAAAATAGTGAACTCAAGTAACTGTAATAAGATAGAGATAAAATGCATAAAGCCCATTTGTCAAGTAATATGCATTTGTGTTTTATGTATGTGTCTAAGTGATACAATAGATTGTCGGCAAATTAATAATCTATAAATTAATAATTTCTAGCAATTAATAATTTTTTCCTGTCCTAAGTGCAAAAAGTGAAAAAAAATCGATAAAATAATAAAATAATAATGTTTTAGAAAATCTCATATATACCTATAGGTCCCAACACTCCCATAAATTAATAAATACCCTAAAAGTCAAACAATAATAATAATTACTATCAATATTTATTAAAGTATCAATAATATATTGATACTTGTTTTTTAGTCTCTAGAGATGATACAAACTATGTATCAATAATCCAGGGCGGTACCTTGCGGGAGAACCCCGATTTTATTAATTTAAAATAAAAAATACATACGACAGTGCTTAAGACATACCCAACAAGAAAAAAACCGTCTTACAAAAGTTTTTCTAAAAGACTCCACTTACAAAGATATACTAAAATCTCAAGGCAGTACTGAATTCAAATAATTAAAGATAAGAGCTACCTTACAAAGACTTGACTACAAATCTCATAATAGCTCTGTATAGTTCAAAAGAGAATTATATTATCTGTTACAACCCCTATTTTTTAATGGTATTACTTTACGCGCGGATAGGGTGCAGACTGTTGATCAAGTAACAACAATCCACGAGTATAACCAGGAAGCTGAGATTGGTGTGTGCATGTGAAGGAACTTCCTGTTGATGCTATACTTGCTAAAGAATCAGGCACCGCATTAACCTCACGATATATATATGATCAAATGAGTATGTGTTCCTTTCCAAAAAGCCGCCCTATTTTTCCATGGAAGAGAAGAATGTTTATGAAGAAAGTCAATTGGGATTTTACTATCCGATCTTACTTGGACTTGTTGTAGCTGAAGCTCCTCACATTTCTGCAATCCAAATAGCATTGCTTCAACTTCGTCTTCAAAACTTGTTTGAAGACCTAGGTGTTGACATCCAGCTGCAGTTAAATCCCCTTTATGATCTATGATAATATATCCTAATCATGCTTCGCCTGGAGTTCCATGAGACGATCCATCTACATTTAGCCCATAAACACCCCTTGGTGGAAAACTCCATTTGACAACCTTGACTAATCTCCTCTTTGGATGTGCTAATTTAACATTGAAGAGATCTTAAAGGAACATCCTCTCTAATTCTGTTTTGACTTTCAACTCATGTACTCGTAGAAGATTAGAATATGATCATAAATTAGAAGCATAACAGTTCTAGCATTAAATTGAACCCGCTCATATATGAACCTATTTCTAGCCTTTCATAATTCCCAAAGAATAAAAGATGGTAGCACGAAAACAATAGAGGATAATGTTGACAAGTAATTACCTAATAAGTACTATGCATGCAAAAAAACTTTTAAATTAATACTTTAGGCAATGATAAATCAAGAAGAGCCGCAAAGTGCTCCCAAATGTGGCTAGCAAACTTGCATTGGTAGAATACATGTTGTATGGTCTCGGATTCAGCCTTACAAAACTGACATCTCGAAGAAAAAGAGAAAATTTAATTCTGCGAGTTCTACTACAAAAGGCAATAGATAATTAAGAAGCTTCCAGTTTAAGAAAGAAATTCGTATAGGAATAAGTTTGTTCCAAATGAACTTAGAGAATGGAAATTGAGTTACTCACTGATTGATTGATATGCCGAAGCTATTGAAAAAACTCCAGTTGAAGTCGGCTTCCAGACATAGACATTGACGAAGCTTGGTTTTACACCGCCGGTCTAACAGTGGAACTCCAGCTAGGGTTTTCTGCAAAAAAAAAAAAGCCTTGGGGGTCTCTCGAGGGTAGACACTTTGATACTTAAGTCAGAAAAGGGTTTTAAGAACGTATGAGAATAATATTGTGTGCTAGAGATAGCGAACCCGTATTGTGATGTGTTCCATCCTATTTATAGGCATAGGAGTACCTTGAAGGTGACCGAATCCTATTAGGTTTCATGTTCCTTAACCGCCTCTATAAGGTCAGTTGGACCATGAAAGACATGTGGACCGGTCCAATGACTCTCGATTGATATGGACTCGTCAAGTCCCTCTGTCAAGTATTAGTCGCACAAAGTAAACGATACTTGATAACAAATAAATATTACCTGGACTCGGCCCAAGTTGAATACATAAGTTTCGGCCCACGTTGCGTCGAGCAAGCCTGTTGAGATAGTTTGCGGGCTAAGATCCGACCCGAGAAAGCTACCCGATACAAAATCCCGCCTAAACAGATGCAGACACACCCATAACTCTACATGTCTCCCAAACGGCAACTTCATATCATTATGTCCTCTCGAAAATAGAGGAACCCTCAAATCGTGGGGGATTGGTTTCCTTTATTTAAACTGGAACAAATCAATCCCATTCATTTCGTTTGTCTTCCAAAAATTTTCAACCCACAACTCTCTCCAAATCCTCACTTTGTAATTGTCGTCGGAATTCCCAATACCGGAAGCTACATCGAGACTACAAGAGAGAGATTTGCTGGATTCTCTGACTGTCCCTACTTTGATAATCCTGTTTGTAGAATGTCGTCGGAGATAGCATCACCCTGGGAGTTACAACTCAAAAGGCGAGTGGTCTTTCCCCATTCCATTAGTAAGTTCTCAGATCTGACCATCTTAGTTTCATTCACAGTCTTTTTTTTTTTGTCGAATTGTAACCGGAGTAGATTTAGAATTATATCATGGTTAGGGACTCAGAGGGAAAAACTGTCTATGATTTTGTTTCCACCATAGATTTTGATGAAAAGGTAAATGGTGTAAAAACGAGATATGACCTGCCCTTAGATCTAGAAGTTAGAGCCCCGCTAGGAACCGAGAGGGCTAATGCTCCTCCTGAGGGAATGATTACTGTATATGATCGTTTCAAGCATCTAGGGCTTAGATTCCCCCTCTTCCATATGTTTGAGGAGATATTCCAACATTACAAAACCCCCCTAGCTCGTTTTACGCCAAATTTGATAACCTTTGTTCTGGGGTTCGCTAAAATATGTCAACGAGTAAAGGTAAAGCTCCAACTAATCCTGTGGAGATACCTCTTCCAAGTTGTTATCCCCATCGACATCATTTCAAGACTGGTATATTGTCAAGAGACGTCTTAGGTATGGTGTTAAAAAGATGGTATTTGCATATGGCGGCTCGCCTGAATGGAAGCCTGAATTTCTTTTCGTGAAGGCCTCCAAAAAGTATTGTGTCGCTTGGAACTATTGAGAAGTGGAAGGTCTCAAAGTGATAAAAAAGGATTGGACAAAGTACGATGATAAAGCTATTGAGGAGATGGATGGCGACATGCAGAAGATCTTGAAATACTCCAGGCTAATTACCTGGAGCGACGTGCAGTTCTACATTCCCCCTATTCCTGTAGAAGAGGGAAAGGATATGAATGCCCCTATCGAGCAAGGGGAAAACACTAATATTCGTGTCGAGGAAGAAAAAGGTACTAATTCTTTTTATTGCTTCTCTCTGTGTTTTTAGGTCATGTCGTCGAGCAATGCTGGCTCTTGATTTTTTGGTGATGAAGACCCCTTTCCTATTGTGAATTCAGATGAGGACGTCTCGGTTACTGCAGTTGCTAGGCATAAAAAGAAAAAGAAGAGAATCGTGAAGGGCCCTGAGAAGGAAAAAAATAAAAAGGCGAAAGCTGACATGCACCAAAACAGAACCCTCGGCACAACAAGAGAAGATTGTGCCTCAAACTGTTGAAGAGTCTCGGGTTCCACCCACTGAATCTGGACCAAGCTCTGTTCCTCCTGTTGCAGATAAGGGTAAGAACCCTCTCGAGGGAGAAGTGGTTATATTGCCTCCTCAAATGTTCGAGGGCGAGCCAACAGTAGAGGTCCACACATTTGGTGATCCGCCAACGATCGAGTGCCCCCTCCTCGAGGAATTTGCTGCTATGCTGAATGAGACCGACATCATAAGACTGGTAAGAATTGCTTTGTGGTTTTGTGAATATCTTTACAACTTCATAATAGATAAAATTTCCTTGAATCCTCAATTTTGTATAGCTAAGTGCAGCCTCGATGGCCCATTTAATGCACATGAGGAAGCTGAAGGAAGAACTGGTTTAGGCTCGAGTGGAGAGACACCAGGCGCTAAGCGAGAAGGTTGTTCTCGAAGAGAAGTCACAGCAGGTGCAGGCCAAGGAGCAGGAACTAGCCTCTATGCAAACTAAGTACAACGAGCTCGAGGAGCAGCTTAAGGGTTATGCCAATCTGCACATCTCGAAGGAGGAGCTACACAAGTGGTGTGTTGCCTTCATGTATAGGATGTTGTCCACAGGTGGGATGGCGGCAGCTATCAAGGAAGTAAATCTGGTAGCTACCAAGTGTGGTGCGCACCAAGTAGCTGTGGCAGGCCTTTAGAGAATTAATGAGAACAAGCCTATCAAGGCCAAATGGCTCAAACAATTCCTGCCGGTGGCTCCCAAGAAGATCATGCATGAGGAAATGGTGAATGTCCTTACCAAGCTTAGCATCAAGCAGTTACCCCTGTGAGAATCCCTGAGTGGAGCTCTCGTCAAGATGAATTCTCCCATGGAAGTCACCACATTTCTTGGAGATCTGCCCACAATTTTAGCCAAGGGTCCAAGTGAAGAAGAGCCCATCCCTGATGTACCGGATGACTATATGGGCATTGAACTTGAGGATGCTGATGAAGAAGCTTCGCAGGAGGATGTTGCTGACACTGGCCACTCTGGGGTGCAGAAGAATGCTGGAGAGACGTCTTAGAACAAGGACACCTTTCTTGATCGAGATGTTGTAGGAATTCTTTCCTCTGTAATAGTTGTCAGGATGTTCAAACAATGATTTTTGTAATTGACTTTTGTTTTTATCCGGCATATGATTGCGACATATTTTGCATCCTCCAAGTTTGATGTGGTCTTTGCATCCTTCTTTCAAAACAAGATAGTTGTTCCGTTCATCGGATTCACCTCATTGTGTTGTCTGAAGCCCAATCGAGAGAGTATCCTTTATACTCGATGATCTGCAATATCCTGAGGGGTTGTGCAGATATCCACAGCATCGAGACAGTGGCGAAACTAGAAGTGGATCTCCTCGACGCAATGCGGGCGCATAATGTGCGAGTTAATCAACATTTCATTAACGAGATCAAAGAGCTTCGTGAGGAGATGCGGCGGCTAGAATTCCAAAAAGACAAAGACTTTAGCGATTCTCTGACCTTTGAGACCAAAATTCATGACGAACTGGTTGCCTTGGAGAAGGAAAACACTCAGTTAAGGAAGAACCATAAGATTACTATATCGCCATGGTTTCTTGAGAAGCATCAGTTACTAGCTCGAGTACAACACATGATATCCATAAGGACTCATCGGTTCATTGCGGCAATGGATATCCTCAAGGAAAGATCTCGTGAGACCAAGCTTCTCATGGAGTATATCAATGAGCTTCAGAACCTGCTGTTGGACCATCATATTGACTTCCAGACTTTCGATAAACCTGAAATAGCGGTGGATCCCCGGACCCAGAGCTCACGAGAAGAGATGCTTATGAGGGTGCATGCTCAAGATGAAGAGATCGTAGATCTCAAAGACAAGTTTAATCAATGTGTGAATCTCTTTAGCCAGCATGGGTTCAAGGGTACTATTCATCCTTCTCCTGATAATCCCATTAGGGAAGTTCTTATAATAGTATAGAAAAAGATGTGTATCCCCTTCGACCTCGCACAGTTGTGTGAAGGTAGCAAATATATTATTGCTGTATGAAACTCGAGTTTATAATTTATATAGCGCTTTTTCGGCCGGATGTAAAGTACACGGCTCTCTTTAGGAAACTGGGTACGAGTACCTCAATTTGATACAAAGATCTACAGTGGGACTGTGGAGATTTCCTCGGGTTTTGTCCGGATGTTGAATACACGGCTCTAAACGGGGATGTCCCTTAAGAGGGAGTCCATCTCGATGACTAGTCATAAATAGAATGTCGACAATATAAAGAAATATGTAATGTCTTTTATTGATTAATTACCCGAGGACCCAGGTTAGCATTACATATTAGAAAGTGATAAATAAATAAAAAATAACGAAGCAAGTAAAGCAAATAAAACAAACAACTACGACTAGCAAATAGCAAGCAAGGACTCAAACATAGAACCTGCGAAGGTTCTGAATGTTCCACCATCGAGGGAGGATAGTCCCACTGTCATCCATGGCTTGTAAGCGGTAACTGCCTGCTGGAGAAGCTTTAATGACCTTGTAAGGCCCTTTCCAATTTGCTGTGAGTTTTACAGGAGTTTCTGCTCGACTGGCTTCATTTTTTCCTTAACACAAGATCTCCTACCACGAGATCTGTTGCCTTCACTCGCTTGTTATAGTGCTTTCTGAGAGTCTCCTTATATTTTGCTTCTCGGATTCTAACTGTATCATGTTGTTCCTCGAGTAGGTCAAGGTTTAGCCTGACATCATCATCATTAGTGCTTTCGACAAAGTTGATTTTTCAAGGACTAGATAGGCCTATTTCAGCTGGAAGAAGTGCGTCCATGCTATAGACAAAGTTGTAAGGGGTTTCATTCGTCGAGGAGTGGGCAGTGGTGCAGTATGACTATAGGACATGGGAAAGCTCATCGGCCAACGACCATTTAGCGTCATATAGCCTGGTCTTGATTCCATGCAGGATGGTTCTGTTGATAGACTCTGCCTGGCCATTAGCTTGAGGGTGAGCTACACTCGAGAAACGACGCTCGATTTGCATTTCCTCACACCATGACTTGAAGGGGTTACTCTTGAATTGAGTTCCATTGTCAGAAACAACAGCCCTTGGAACTCCAATACGACGCACGATATTTTGCCAGAAAAAATCCAACACCTTCCTTCCTGATATTGAGACCAACGGTTTAGCTTCTACCCACTTAGTAAAGTAATCTACTGCTACGATTACCCATCTTACTCCTCCTGCCCCTTTTGGATGAAAAGGGCTGATGATGTCAGTGCCCCATTGGTAAAACGGCCAAGAACTTTGAATGGTGACCATCTCGTGCTGTGGCTGTCGAGTGATGGGAGAGAAGCGCTGACACTTATCGCACTTTTGTACAAACTGGTATGCATCTTTGAAAACCGTGGGCCAGAAATACCTTGAACGTAGTACTTTCTTAGTAAGTGCTCTTGCTCCCATATGTGCTCCACACGATCCCTCGTGTATCTCCTCGAGGACATAAGCTGCTTGTTTTGGGCCAATGCATCTTAGCATGGATAGCAGGTACCCGTGCTTGTATAAAAAACCATCTCTTAGAGTGTATTTAACTGCTTTCAGTTGGAGCGCTCGAGCATCCGCCTTATTACTTGGTAACGTTCCGTCTGTAAGATACTGGATGAATGGGGTCATCCATGTGTCTCTATCTTTGGTAATGGTCATCACGGGAGGCTTCTGAATACTCGGTTCGGGGAGAATCTCGACCCAAACCTTGTGACTGAGGTGTGCAAAATTTGAGGAAGCCAACTTGCTCAACACGCCAGCCCTTTTATTTCTCGATCTTACAATATGGGATACGGTGCATTTCTCGAACTTATCCTTCATCTCGAGGACCCTTTCGAGATATTGCTTGAGTTGCTCATCATTTGCTGTATAATCGCCCAAGATTTGATTCACCACAACCTGAGAATCACTGAAAACTTGTATTCTTTGAACCTCAAGCTTTTGAGCAATACTCAATCCTGCTGTCATGGCTTCATACTCGGCCACGTTGTTAGTAACCGGCAAACCAAATCTCAGCGCGTATGTGTACTCCGCACCGTACTCCTTCATGTTCTTGATGTCCGGATCGGCCGATGGTTTTCCCAGTATAATGCCGGCTCCTCCCCCTTCGTCACAACGAGAACCATCAACATATAGTGTCCAGACTCAAGGGTTAATATTGACATAGGCAGTAGCGGGATTCTTTGGCCTTGCGGCTTCTGGGACATCAGTAGTTCGAGGCATTTATACAAGGAAATCTACAAAAGCCTGTCCCTTAATTGTTATTCTTAGCTTACACTCTGATGGGGTGCGCTTGGAAGTACGGGCGCAAACGTCGAGCTGCCAAAACCAGACTTAAAATGAGCCTTTCCATGGGTGTATAGCATGTTTCTGCCCCTTGCAATACTTTACTGACAAAGTAAACTGAAATTTCTTTGCCATCTTTGTTTTGAACCAGCACGGCTGATATGACCTTTTGTTGAGCTACTAGATATACACACAAGGTTTCTCCTGGTTCTGACTTAGCTAACATGGGCAATTGTTTGAGATGTTCTTTCAACTCTTGGAAGGCTATGTGGCTTTTTTCGTTCCATTCAAAATTTTCTACCTTTGCGGAGCGTGTGGAAGAACGGGGACTCCTTTTCGCTGCTCGAGAGAGGAATCTGTTTGAGGCAGCCAAGGACCCTGTGAGTTTCTGAACTTCCTTGACATTTTTTGGGGCTTCCATCACTAGAATCGCCTCGATCTTTGCTGGGTCGATGCTAATTCCATCCTTGGAAACATGGTATCCTAGGAATTTACCTGACCACATGCAGAAAGCGCATTTCTTTGGGTTCAATTTCATGTTAATTTTGCACAAAATCGAGAAGATCTCGCGCATATCCGTGACTCTTGCTCATTTTTATTAGTCTTGATCACCATGTCATCCACATATATCTCGATATTTCTGCCAATCTGCTCATGGTATGCCCTGTTAACAAGGCGCTGGTAAGTCACGCCAGCGTTCTTCAGACCGAAGGGCATCTTATCATAGCAGTATACTCCGATCTCGGTAATATAGGCTGTCTTCTCTTCATCTTCTCGTGCCATAAGGATTTGATCATATCATTTATAGGCATCAAGGAAACTAAGGGTCCTATACCCAGTGATACCCTCGATCATCTGATCTATGACTGGTAAGGGATAACAATCCTTGGGACAATATTTGTTCAGATCAGTGTAGTCTTGGCACATGCTCCAAGAGTTATCAGGTTTCCGCACCAGGACTGGATTAGCCAACCAGGTACCAAAGAACTTCTCGGAGTATATTAGCGCGAACCAACTTCAGTGTTTCTTGATGACATCATTACGATCTCGATCAAATATCCTTTTCTTCTGTTGCATGGGTTTAACGTTTGGGTTAACGTTAACTTGTGCTCTATGACGTCTCGTGGAACTCCTGTCATATCTGTGGGTGACCAAGCAAATATATCACGGAACTTGCGTAGCAAGGCGACTACCTCGGCCAGCAACGTTCCGTGAAGGGATATTCCTATCAGGATGGACTTGGAGGGATCTGTCTCGTTAAGAACCAGCTCTTGTGTCTTGCTACTAAGTGGTGGCAGGTTAATTTCATGACCCTCTACCCGTGGTTGTACTGCTGTTTGTTGGATTGAGTAACATCCCGACATGGCAGTAATGGGGTTAGATTTCACGGTTTTCTTCCTGATCTTAACAACTGTGAGTAAGCATTCTCGAGAGCTGCGCTGGCATCCTTGTACTACTCCTACTCCATATTCTGTTGGAAACTTCATTACTAGGTGATAAGGGGACCAAATTGCTTGTGCTTGGCACATCCAAGGTCGCCCCAGAATCACGTTGAATGGCGAGGGTGTATCTGTCAGAGCAAAATTCATGGTTAGTATAACTGTCCTAGGATGTGACCTTACCGAGATGGGAAGACTTATTATCCCTATTGGAATGTGTCTATAGAAGCCCATTAATGGCATTGTTGTTGGGCAGATGTTTGGGGTTTGGATGTTCATCTTCTTGAAGCAGTGCTGTATATGATATCGACCGCACTGCCGTTATCCACATAAACTCGACTGACCTTTACGTTTCCGATTATCGCCTTGATAACCATAGCATCACTGTGAGGACATATGTCTGGGACCACATCGCTGTCAGTGAATACAATAGCTTTTGTCCCTTTGAACCTCTTGTGGCTAGGCTCTTGACGAGGAGTTTTTGTTACGGTTCGCAGTGAGTTCTTCATGGCTGTTGTGGATAAGACTTCGAGAGGTGCTCCATAGATGGCTCCCACTTGATGAGTAATCTGTTTGGTAGGATCTACTGGAGGAAGTTTCTGAACTGGTTGCAATGCTCCTTCAATAGTTTGTTGAGGCGGTTGTTGTGTGTTGGCTCTCGGTTGCCAGTTGTTTCCTTAGTTTTCTTCTCGAGGACCTCTGAAATTCCGTTTAGGGAATTTCCGAGATGGACCAGGCTTGTTATTCTTCTGTCGAGATGATCTTTGTACATATTGCTGAAATTTTCCAGATTTGACTCCATTCTCGATCTCTTTCGTGAGCTTTCGACAATCCTCAGTATCATGGCCATGGTCCTTGTGGTATTCACAATATTGCTCTACTGATCTGTTTGGATAGGGCGCCAAGGGTTTTGGGCTTGGTAGCTCATCCTTGTGAATCTGAAGAATTTCTCGACGCGGTTTAGTCAGGGGCTTCAACTGCCTATCGAGTTTAGGCCAAGTCGTCCTGCTCTTCGTGTTAACCCTTGGTTTGTCTCTTGGACCTATCGTTGTAAAAGATTCTTGCGACCTTTTGAGTGTGTGTTCTCGCTGGATATAATTTTCGACAATAGCCCGCATCTCTTGAGTGCTCCTGGGAGGTTTGGTTGAGAGTTTTACTCACAGCATTGAGGATTTTCCAAATGGGTTAAGTCCTTGAATAAACCCATTGCGGACATCTCG